TAATGACTGGCATTTCTGACAGGTATAACACTGTTAAAATTGCTCGATGTGACTTCGAAAAGATAAATTCGTGGAAAAACAAAGTGACGTGTTTTTAAAAATAATTTAAATCGCTTTGGCACACACGTGCCTGTTACGTGTGTCTGTGTGCCTGTGTGTCTGTGCGTCTGTGTGTCTGTGTGTCTGTGTGTCTGCGTGTCTGTGTGTCTGTGTGCGTGTCTTTCAGTTAGCTGTTAGCGCGCTGCACTACGAACCCGGCGACCCGAGTTCGATTCCCGCTCACAGCCAACACCGGTGACAATTATCTGAACTGGTACTGGGCCTTCTCCCCTAGGTCGACTCAGCCTAAAATGAGTACCAGGTGCGGTGTGTAAACATCGCCACTGGGGAGACAAAGGCGGTCGGGCGTGGTGCTGGCCACCCACCCCCTCGTGTGCCGTGCCCGCCTTCATAGGTGCCACTCGCTAACAGCACTTGCCCCTACAGTCTGCGCCGGCTACATGGGGGACCTTTGTCTGTGTGTGCGTATCTTTGAGTTCCTTTGCGATGGTTCAAAGAAGTTGGGGGGGGGGGGGGAAGTAATCGAAACATTTTCTTGCACAATGTCGCTTTTGACAGCCTAAATGTGTGAATTTTGATGTGTGTGGCTTTCTTAAAAAAAACTGTACATTTAAAAAAAAACTTTTCTGGAGGGGATTTTTAGGTTTGAAGCACGGGTTTTTGTTGTTGTGTGTGTGCTTATGGGGGTTTGTATACTGCGGTCGACCCGTGGCACCTGCTGGGTCTGCCCCGTGACCTCCTGCCAGCGGGTGTTCGACACTTCACGTGGCCTCAAGGTGCACATGGCCTGGCACAAGCGTCGTGGTGACCTCACCGCCACTTAGTGGCGAATGGCGTTTGTTATTATACTGCGGAGAGAGGGACAAGCAAAAAGAATTCGTCAGTTTCAAAAAGTCACGGAAATAAACGTGGCGTCAAAACTAAAGCCCTCCTTTTTTCCTCCCCTGTTGCATTTCACCGAGTTCCTCTGAAGAGTCATGTTTGCATAGACCACAATACCTTGCAGCCATAATGCAAACAAAAAACATAACTTTGATAATATATGCACTGTCCTTGAAGTTGATTGGTCCACACCCGAGACAGCTTTCCTTAGAGCCTAGTCTCACATGACGAGGAACTTTAGTGCGCCTTTTGGCGTCATCTGGTCCAACCCATGTGAGACTAGGCTCTAAGGAAAGCTGTCTCTGGTGTGGACCAATAAACTTCAAGGACAGTGCATATATTATCAGAGTTATGCTTTTTGTTTGCATTATGGCTGCAGGTATTGTGGTCTATGCAAACATGACTCCTTGTAAAAAAAAGTGTCAGTTTTGTTGCCAGATAGATGGGTAAAAAAACAATTATCATATTTTTTACTGGCAAATGAGGTTCCAATAATGGTTCCTCTGAAGAGTTTACGTGGAGCGGTCTTGCCAATAACATCTGGCAGCAGTTTTCGAACGGGCCTCACTTTGCTGATGAGACCCAGCAGGTTGAAACCGGGGCAGGGTTTCCTTGCGAAATGAAATGGCATTCCCGTCAACCCATATCCGTCAACCCACACGGTATAGCCCCCCGTATTCTTGTCCAGGGTAATTGGAGTTTTCAGGTCGATACCGCGTACAGCCGTTTCAATACGGGCAACATTTTTTGTATATTTCTGTGTTCTCCCTTGTGATGGGGACGTTGTAGGGTGAACGCTGGTCTGTGATAAGGTAGGCACTGATAAGGGGTTGATAGGTATGTGAGTTTCGATTTAAAGCTTTCGTGACTGCAGGGATTCATCTTCTTGGTTCTTTCGGTAAAGTCACGTAGAAGGGAAATAATAAAATAATCAAAATTAAACATAATAAAATACAATTCTCACGACGTTTCGGCCACAATGCAAGCAGCCGTCCTCAGGTGAAGAACAGGTCTGTCGGGAAGACAGTGTCATTCAGACACTGTCATTCAGACACTGTCTTCCCGACAGACCTGTTCTTCACCTGAGGATGGCTGCTTGCGTTGTGGCCGAAACGTCGTGAGAATTATTATATAATGTTTTATTTATTTTATTTTATTATTTCCCTTCTACGTGACTTTACCGAAAGAACCAAGAAGAGGTATGTGAGTGTGTGTATCTCTACATCAAGCAAGCAGCATCAGCATGCAAGATCATAGACAGTAGTAGCATGATAAGTATCATCATGGACACAAATTATCAAAATTAATACGTCAAAAAATTGTTTAGTGACGTAAGTTTTGTCTATTTGTGTTTCTCCCTTGTGGTGATGGGACTTTGTAGGAGGAACGCTGAGATTCATAAGGGTCACGGGGTGATCAACAAGGTCTGAGTTTGTCTGTGATCAGGTAGGGCACTGATAAGTGGTTGACATTCTAGATTTGAAGTTTTCGTGACTGCAAGTATCCACATTCTCTCTGGTTCTTTCGGTAAAGTCACGTAGGTGAAAAAATAAAATGAATAAAAATAACATAAGAATAAAAAATAATTATAATAAAAAATAAAAAATAAATAAATTCAATTAAATCACGACGTTTCGGAAGCAACACAAGTTTCCGTCATCGGGTGGGACAACCACAGAAATCTATTTTTTTATTTTTTTATTCTCATGTTTTTTTTTATTTTTTCACCTACGTCACCTTACCGACAGAAGCAGAGAGGAAGGGGTTGACAGGTTTGTGATAATAGTCTCTAGGTGCGACCGTGCCAAGATACAAATCACAATACGAGGGGGCCCATAGTCTCACACAGAGACCCATAGTCTCACACAGAGACCATATACTTACAGAGAGACCCATTGGCTCATACAGAGACCTATAGTCTCACACAGAGACCATATACTTACAGAGAGACCCATTGGCTCATACAGAGACCTATAGTCTCACACAGAGACCATATACTTACAGAGAGACCCATTGGCTCATACAGAGACCTATAGTCTCACACAGAGACCATATACTTACAGAGAGACCCATTGGCTCACACAGAGACCCATAGTCTCACACAGAGACCCATAGTCTCACACAGAGACCATATACTTACAGAGAGACCCATTGGCTCATACAGAGACCTATAGTCTCACACAGAGACCATATACTTACAGAGAGACCCATTGGCTCATACAGAGACCCATAGTCTCACACAGAGACCATATACTTACAGAGAGACCCATTGGCTCATACAGAGACCCATAGTCTCAAACAGAGACCCATAGTCTCACACAGAGACCATATACTTACAGAGAGACCCATAGTCTCACACAGAGACCCATAGTCTCACACAGAGACCATATACTTACAGAGAGACCCATTGGCTCATACAGAGACCCATAGTCTCACACAGAGACCATATACTTACAGAGAGACCCATAGTCTCACACAGAGACCCATAGTCTCACACAGAGACCATATACTTACAGAGAGACCCCTTGGCTCATACAAAGACCCGTAGTCTCACACAGAGACCCATAGTCTCACACAGAGACCATATACTTACATAGAGACCACATATTCACATAGAAACCCATAGACCTGTACAGAGACCCACAGACCCATGTGTGAAGGGGGATAAAACTATACTTTTGTTTTCGACTTTTGTTTTAAAGGATGAAAATTGCTTTAAAATGTATTAAAAACGCGCTGTCTCTTTGTGGGAGGAAAAAGGTCGGATATGGTTATGAATGATTTATTTAAAACCTATAACTGGCAAATGCAAGCGGGGCTTTTGTTAAAACGGTGCTTTGTTTTCTTACCAAATGCTGTCGGCTTCTCGTGTTTTCAATACTGTATACGGATGAATAATCGCGTGCATTGAAAGCTGTTAATAAAATTGTGAATTGGCCACTTCTCTTGTGCACTGGCCTTGTGCATTAACGTCACACATCGTCACAAATGTCTGACACCCTCCCCCCCTAGGTGCGTGACGTCATTTATGGACGGCCCCAAAGTCCCATCGCAAGAGAGAAACACAAACAAATAAGAATTACACATTTTGTGCCCGTATTGAAACGGCTGTACGTCGCATGGACATGAAAACTCAATTTGCCTGTACAATTTTTCGATTTAAAGCTTTCGTGACTGCAGGGATTCATCTTCTTGGTTATGTCGGTAAAGTCACGTAGAAGGGAAATAATTAATTAATATTTTATAAAACATAATAAAATAACATAATAATATAGTAAAATAAACTAATATGATATAAGAAAATAAAAAAATAAAATTATATAATATAATAAAATAGTTAAATAATATATTAATATAATATTATTATATTTCGATTTAAAGCTTTCGTGACTGCAGGGATTCATCTTCTTGGTTCTTTCGGTAAAGTCACGTAGAAGGGAAATAATAAAATAATAAAAATTTAACATAATAAAATATTATGTTTTATTTTAATAAAATATTATTTTTAAAATAATAAAAATAAAACATAATAAAATATTACGTTTTATTTTAACAAAATATGTTTTATTTTTATTATTTTAAAACATTTTATGAAAATAAAACATAATATTTTATTATGTTTTATTTTTATTATAGTGCGGTGAGCGAAGCAAGTTGCAGGAGCTGCGCCCAAGTTTTTTATTTAAAAAAACTAATAAAAAAATGCGCAATTGAGTTTGTCAAAACGTTCATTGGTGATTCTGTGGACACAGTTTCCCACACAAAACGATGCACAGACATCGCAATCGGACGTTAAAGTTCAAGTGAAGCCCCATTATATTTCATTAATTAAAGAAAATATCTCGTTATTTACTGAATCGAAGATTGACGGCGGAAACAAAGATCGATTCCTCGAATTTCAAAATCGCATCGATTCCACAAAACCACGTTACGCTACACGGCGAATCGATCTGGCGCTGTTGCTAATCGAAACTAATTCGATTCCATTCATCGGAACGTTAAGCAGCGCGCAGGAATCGCGAGCGTGAAGTTAATTTTGGTTTTCGATTCAGGAGAATCGAATCGATTGGGGGGGGGGGGGTGAAGAAGACGCCAACCCTTAGCAATGGCGGGAATTGCTCTGTCCTTGAGAAGCCGGTCGAGGTTAGCGTCGTCTCTCCTCGTCGTCGCCAGGCTCCCGGCGGCCGGAGGAGGCGAAGGAGCACAGGTAAGAGTCGATAGATGGAAGGCGTCACCCGTTAAAAACAAAACACGCGCGCGTCAAGAAACGGATTGGCTGTCGTGGTGTGTGTCACCCCCATACACGTGGAGCAGGCTTGGCGCTCACAACAACGAGCGGAGCGCCGGGCGGATAAAGCACAGCGAGTTAGCACAGTTGGGGGGCATAGGTGGTGCATCGGCCCTGTCATCTCGGCCGACCCGTGGCACCTGCTGGGTCTGCCCCGTGACCTAGTGCACCTAGCCTGCCACAGTAGGAGGTCAGGTGGTGGCATCGGCCAATCATCTCAGTCGACCCATGGCACCTGTCCTCTGCCCTGTGACCTGGTGCACCTAGCCTGGCACATTTGGCACAGGTGGTGCATCGGCCAGTTATCTCAGTAAGTCGACCCATGGCACCTGGGTCTGCCCCTATGGGCAGTGTTGAGTCTATGGGCAGTGTTGAGTCTATGGGTAGTGTTAGTCTATGGGTAGTGTTAGTCTATGGGCAGTGTTGAGTCTATGGCCAGTGTTAGTCTATGGGTAGTGTTGAGTCTATGGGCAGTGTTGAGTCTATGGGTAGTGTTGAGTCTATGGGCAGTGTTGAGTCTATGGGCAGTGTTGAGTCTATGGGTAGTGTTAGTCTATGGGCAGTGTTGAGTCTATGGGCAGTGTTGAGTCAATGGGCGTTGTTGAGTCAATGGGCGTTGTTGAGTCTATGCGCATTGTGTATGTACAGCATGTGTAACTTCATTTGCACCGTACGTAGCCGACCGTGCTAATCTGAGGTGCGGCGAAACCCTCCCCCCCCCCAAGGTGTTGCGGAGGGTCGCGGCTCTGAGGCCCGTCTGGCCGGCCGCCCCTCCGCTGTGGAGGCCTCGCTGCACGGCCGCGACGGGGGAGTTGACCCCGGCGGCCCCTGACCCCCTGGCCCACCTGCGGCAGAACCCCTGGGAGTATCTGGACAGCGAAGGTGATTGACCCCCCCACCCAAAGACCCTCCACCCCCCCCCCTCCCCCCACGGTAGCAGCTGTCCTTGTGCGGCGTAAAGTGAACGCAGCACCGGCCGGCAAGCGTGCATTGCTCTGCCAGTAGGGGGGCGATGTTGCTTTGTCGCTTTTCCCAAATCGATCGAAGGGTCGGTCAGAACTGGGTGACAACAGAAAAAACCCAGCGCCCTTTTTGTCGGCAAAAGATGAAACCTACCCGGGGCCTGAACCCTGGATCTCGGCAGTGCCGGCTCGGTGTCTCTAACATCCGAGCCACCTGGACCCAGAGCCGGTGATGGAAGTTCCACGTGGCCGTGGCAGGGCCCAGTCTGTCCGATGGCGAACCGTTGTTTTCTTTCTTCCGCAGAATATATCGAGCGCTATGGGGAGATTCCCATCTGGAAGGATTACAGACGGAACCACAAAGGTGGAATCCCTCCCCAGAAAACACGCAAGACCTGCATCGTAAGACTAAGTGCACTGGAGTTCTTCACTCATTTTCAGAGAGGGCGGGGCGTCATCAGTAGTGTGAGGGCCACCACCAGAGGTCGCAACCGGGTACCCGATACCCATACCCTACCCGAAACCCGGCTACCCGTACCCGGCCAGGTACGGGTACCCGTTTGCGACCCTGGTGCGGCCGGGTACGGGTACGGGTAGGCCGTGAGTCACTGGTGAGTAACCGTTTGTCACTCATTTCGGGTAGGGTACGGGTAGCATACGGGTACCCATTTGCGACCCTGGTGCGGCCGGGTACGGGTACGGGTAAGGAATCAAAACCCGTTTGCGACCTCTGGCCACCACACATTTGAAACCATTGGGGGTTTGACAGCAGCACGATGACGGGGGGGAGGGGGGCAGAGGGAGTGTTATCAGATTTGTGTATTGTCAGGGGTCTTTAGTGGCCCACGGGCCTTGCAATGAAGAACATTGAAACACACCTTGTCATCGTCATCAGTTTCATTTTTCATGTTTCATTTATTAGGTATAGTCCTGTGAGCCATTCGGCTCTTGAATCGGGTGCAACCTCAACAAACAAAAAACTAAAACATGAACAAGAAAACATCTTAAAGTGAATATGTGACTATGTGCAAACAGAAAATCCAAGAAAAGACACCAAAATATTGCAGAAAAAGCACCGTACACCAACACTGTGTGCAAAAATCCCAGTGGGATGCAAGTCAAACAACAACAACCACAAGACAACTTAGATTAAAGCCATCATTCTAACGCCGTACTCCGACAAACAAACATGGCCAGATCAAAAAACTTTTCGAAATCACCAAAATAAAGCCATGAAAGCAATGTAACAGTGATCATAATTTCACAATAAACGACATAAACAACATGTACCACCAAACCCTGCAGCCATAGCTGTCTGCATGAGTGACTCCACAACAGCAGGAGCACCAGTTGCTTCATTAGCAGCAGCAGCAAAACCAGCATCGTGGGACTAAACACATGCATATCATCACCATCGGCAGTGTGGCATAATCATCACCATCGGCAACATACACTGCGCAATTATTATCAGCATCCGCAGCCTCGGCATCATCATCAGCAGAAGCATAAATAGTTGCAGCATAATCATTGTCAGCAGCTATATCAGCATTACATCGGAATCATTACCGTCGTCATCGGCAGCAACGGGAGGGATTCAGAGTGGCGTTGGTCACACGGAGGTCACGTGTTTTACGGGAGGTTTGAGCTTCATTTGAATGTACGGATAAGCAGTCAGATTTTCGCGCGCGTGTTGTTCCCGTGTTACAGAGAGGAAGTAACGTCTGTTCAAACCCGTGCCCGGCTTGCCGAGACCCAAAGATCATAATGGACTTCAAGGTAAGCAAGCGGCTGGTTGGGGGTGTTCAGCAGACATCACTCACAATTATACGGTTGATCGTCGATTGTAATTTACCGGCTGCATCCAACATCTGGCGGTCCCGGGCCGATCCGGCGAAACTGGCAAAGCCGCTCCGAAGGCTGTAACCAGTGCAGCGATCGGCACCGTGTGCGTGACGAAAAAAGTAGCTTGATTTCAGTGTCAAATATATACAACACATTCCTGCGGAGGGAGCTGGTAGGAACGTTGGGTTGCTCGGTCAATGGCCAGGGTCAACGGCGGCGTGGTGTATTCCGCAAATATGCCCGACTGTGAGGGCGGGCACAAGCCGGCGTGAGTAGGTTAAACGTTTAGTTTTATAAGGGCACCACGGGGTGACCAGCCCCTCCCCACCCAGCCCCACCCCACCCAGCCCCTCCCCACCCTCCTCACCCAGCCCCTCCCCACCCAGCCCCACCCTCCCCACCCTCCCCACCCAGCCCCTCCCTCCCCACCCAGCCCCTCCCTGCACGACGGACGGACGGACACAATAATCCCCTGTGGGCTAGTGTAACCAGGAGGTTCCTACCAGTACTATACACTACGTAGTAGCTATGCTTGATTTCAGTGTCAAATATTGTTTACACTACATTCTAAACTACATAATAGTTATGCTTGATTTCAGTGTCAAATATTAAATACTATTATCAAACACATGTTGTGTTGAAACAAGAGCGTAGCAATATGTACACCACCCCATGCAGAGTCTTGGAGATTGGAGTGGTAAGTACGGTACGTTAAATACATTAACTTTTTACAGTAATATATTTCTGTTTGTCTTTGTATGTTTATGCCAGTTTCACATAGTAAACAAATTTAAAACGCAACAAAAAACATGCACAACACCTAAAAACACAATGTTTTTCAAGAATGTGCAAAAATAAGCTATTTGAAATCATGATGATATAATGATTATCCGGCGTTTACAAATATCTGGCACCCCCTCCCCCCTGAAGCCTCCGGCTAATCGATGATCGACTGTAATAACAAAACAACAAGCTGACCAAAAACATTCCACTTCGCGAGCCTCTGCCAACTTTCCATCTTCCACCTCAGCGTGAATGCCCCCTCGGGACCGTTGTTGTGGTAGTTGTTGTGGTTGTTGGTGGTTGTTGTGTTTTTTTTTTAGGTGCGGTTGTGGTTGGCATGATTGTTGTCGGCGTTGTTGCAGTGGTGGTCGTTGTTGGTTTTGCGTTCGCTTGATGGCTATTCCATGTGTAGAGGGATGTTAGAAAGATAAAGGTGCAGCCCTGCAGATTCTTTCTCGGCTCACTGCTTGCCGGAAGCTGCCTCTGCTCTCAGGAGCTCTATGGAGCGATTTGCCCTGCTCTTCCATGCTGACTAGACATATTGGAAGAGATATATATTCTTGGTTCTTTCGGTAAAGTCATGTAGATAGACAATCAAATAATACAATTAAAGAAAACATTTAAAAAAAATAAAATAATTTTTTTTTAAATAATACGTGGTGGTTTAGTTACTGCAGCTACATACTATTAACATTCCTTCACTTTATTAATGCTACCCCTATCCCCTCCCTTTGATGCTGCTATTCCTGCATAATGCACGGGCATAATGACTTTAAACCCCCCGCCCACCTCCTACACATTCCACTGGTAGTACTAATCGCATACCTGCATTTCCCATAAATATGCTAAATTCCTCTTGATATGCAAATGATTTTGTCAAGGCGCTCTCCCCCTTCCAACCCAGCTTAAATATACGCTCCAAGCGTGGTGGTGTTTCATTCAGACGCTGTCTCCCCGACAGACCTATTCTCCACCTGAGGACGGCTGCTTGCGTTGTGGCCGAAACGTCGTGAGAATTATTTTATTATGCTTTATTTTTATTATTTTATTCTTTCCCTTCTACGTGACTTTACCGAAAGAACCAAGAAAAAAAAAGAGGTTTTCAATTGCCCACACTTTACCCCATCACACTCGGCCAGCTGCTGGCGTTCCCATTAACACCGCCGGGTAGACGGACAACAGGCAGCGGTGGCGAGGAGGAGGAGGATTTCAGAAACTTCCACCGTCGTTTGCGCTGCCGTGCCAGGAGATGGAATTGAACCCTGCGGCCGCTGGATTATAAGTCAAGCGTGCTGGCCATTTAAGCGCGCGGGCCAGAGCAGATAACCGGAACCCCCTTGGGATGGAACAGACACTTTTAGCCGTGTGTGGATTTATTCACACGGCTATTTAACAAAACACATTCGTGATTTGCTGGTTTTTGGCCGCACGAACAAATTGGAGTCGCTGAAGTGATGCCTCCTCAGCTGCTACGGACGACGAGTTAAATTAATATCTCGTCTGCGCTCAGGCTAATTATCCTATGCCAGTATCCTCTAAATTAGATTTAGACACTATATATATACACACACACATTGACATTGTTGTTATTCACTGAACACAGTGGTGCTTAGCCTTTACTGCAGCCTTTGCACGCCTTTGATTCTCAATCGTAAAACAAAATTACAACGTTTATAAAGACACACAGGTTTGATGAAACAAAGTAAGTTGTATCTTCTTGGTTCTTTCGGTAAAGTCACGTAGAAGGGAAGTAATAAAATAATAAAAATAAAACATAATAAAATAAAATAATTCTCACGACGTTTCGGCTACAACGCAAGCAGCCGTCTTCAGGTGAAGAATGAGACACTACCAAGCTAGGAGCTTATATATAAGCTGCGTTGGAGGTGCAAGAAGAGCGCCTTAACAAAAAGAATGTGCATATGAAGAATATGCTAAATTCCTCTTCATATGCACATTATTTTTGTTAAGCCGCTCTTCCACCTTCAACCCAGCTTATACTGGTAGGAACGAAGTGGACCAGACCACCAATAGATTAATGTGTCCGTCCGTCCGACTCCGTCCGTCCGTCCGTCCGACTGTCCGTCCGTCCGTCCCTCCGTGTATCAACATCGCCCCCTACTGCAAACACTTGGCATGACCCTACAAAAACCTTTAGACTCAGTGACGCTATCCTGGTAGCAACATCGCCCCCTACTGCAAACACTTGGCATGACACGTGTAACATTCCCTTATTCCCTGAGATAGCTTTTGATTAAAACCTTGAAATTAAATAAAGTGCGCGCGTTTCGTTAACATTAACGTGAGTAGCCGCGTGTAAGAGTTACATTTTAACGAGACGCGCGCAACTATAATGTTACTGAGGCCTAGTCCGTTAGCGCCTCGTATACAGCCTTAGGCTTTTGCGTGGCAAGGTATATTAAGCGTTTATTTTAATGTTTATAAAAAAATAATTGCACTTTTAACATTAACGCGAGTAGCCGCGTGTAAGAGTTACATTTTAACGACAGGCGTGCGCGCTATAATCAGTAGTTTATAAACTGTATTAGTCACTTTAAAGTTACTGAGGCCTAGTCATTCAGCGCCTCGTATACAGCCTTAGGCCTTTGCGTGGCAAGGTATATGAAGCGTTTATTTTAATATGTTTATAAAAAGTGAATTGCACTTTTAACATTAACGTCAGTAGCCGCGTGTAAGAGTTACATTTTAACGAGACGCGCGCACTATTATGAGTGGTTTATTAACTTTATTTGTCACTTTTAAGTTACTGAGGCCTAGTCCGTTAGCGCCTCGTATACAGCCTTAGGCCTTTGCGTGGCAAGGTATATTAAGCGTTTATTTTAATTTGTTTATAAAAAATAAATTGCACTTTTAACATTAACGCGAGTAGCCGCGTGTAAGAGTTAAATTTTAACGACAGGCGCGCGCTATAATCAGTAGTTTATAAACTGTATTAGTCACCTTCTTGTTTCTTTCGGTAAAGTCACGTAGAAGGGAAGTAATAAAATAATAAAAATAAAACATAATAAAACAATTATTATTTTATTACTTCCCTTCTACGTGACTTTACCGAAAGAAACAAGAAGATGAATCCCTGCAGTCACGAAAGCTTTAAATCGAAATGTATTAGTCACTTTAAAGTTACTGAGGCCTAGTCCGTAAGCGCCTCGTATACAGCCTTAGGCTTTTGCGTGGCAAGGTATATTAAGCGTTTATTTTAATGTTTATAAAAAATAAATTGCACTTTTAACATTAACGTGAGTAGCCGCGTGTAAGAGTTACATTTTAACGAGACGCGCGCACTATAATGAGTGGTTTATTAACTTTATTAGTCACTTTAAAGTTACTGAGGCCTAGTTAAAATAATAAAAATAAAACATTGTGAGAATTATTTTATTATGTTTTATTTTTATTATTTGATTACTTCCCTTCTCCGTGACTTTACCGAAAGAACCAAGAAGACGCATAATATTGTTGTGGATTCGCTCTCCAGCACACCGGTGTTGCTGTACGACTCACGAATTGGCCACGTTCTGGTCACGCTGTGTCGGGTGGTGGCGGGTTTAACGACACATTTACGCTATCTAACCCCCCCCCCCCCCCAAATAAAAAAAACTACATTATGGATGATATTGGTCGCGAAAGCCTACTACGTGTTAAACTAATACTGGTAGGAACGAAGTGGACCAGACCACCAATAGATTAATGTGTCCATCCGTCCGTCCGTGGGAGGGGTGGTGTTGAGGGTGGTGTTGGAAATGAAAGACTACGAGTCTTTAAATCTCACAGCGTTTCTTGTCAAAACAAACACTTTTAATTAACGTTACACTAGAATACAGTAATTTTTTCTTTAACTCCTCTATACCCGGTCGATATCTCTGTACCGGTACTAAGTATTATTCCTACCAGCCCACCCCGCAGGGTCCTGTTATATAAGCTCCTAGCTTGGTAGTGTCTCATTCTTCACCTGAAGACGGCTGCTTGCGTTGTAGCCGAAACGTCGTGAGAATTTTTTTATTTTATTATGTTTTATTTTTATTATTTGATTACTTCCCTTCTACGTGACTTTACCGAAAGAACCAAGAAGATGAAAAGTAAGTTGTACTTACATGCCCATGCTTAATTTGTGTTTTCGATGATTTGCCTTCTAAAAGAATCTGCCCGTGTCTCGCTACCCCCCAGAAAGGGCATCTCGCACACCCAAGAGGTGACGTGCACCCCAGGTGAAGAAGAACCACTTAATTAACACTTCTTGTGGTGTCCTTGCAGAACATCCGTCTTCTGCAGCAGTTTATTTGCCCACACCAAGGCATTGTGTTTGACCCGTCGCTAACCGGTGAGTGAATTGATCACAATTAATAGAATGGGCGTCGGTTCCAAACGTACCGCATTATTAACTATTAATACACTTCTGTTTCATGTCAATTTTATTCACAGGCCTCTGCCAAAGGCAGCATAAGAATCTGCTGGCGGCGATTAAGAAAGCCCAAGATTACGGTACGTAATTGTATTATTTTCTTGCTGAACTGGAGAAAGTTGAGTGGCAGACAAGAGCGAGTGAGTGTGTGTGTGCATGTCCTGTACCCTCCGGTGGCACATGCCCCCCCAATGATCCGATCGAAATCCCTAATTTCAATCAGACCATTGGGGTTTATTAGTAATAATTCGGCATTTTGCGACCCCCACTGCCACTGTGTAGCATATTACTACGTGCCAGGGACTCTATGAGATGATAGGACAATAGTCTGAGTCTATAATTGGCAATAAGTAACGGCAAAGCGGTTATAAGCGACTCACAGAACTGTGCGCAGTTGCGTATACAGCGCACGACTTCCCTGAAGGCATCAACACCTTCAGCGAGCGCGATGCCGATCACACGACGCGGTTCGAATTCGACCCTCGATCGACGGCTGCGCCATCACCGCACACGCGTCGAATCAAAAGCAAGGGACAAGTCCTCACTTACTAACAACTCTATCATTTTTCATTGTTGGAGGGGTTGCCCCCCTCCCTACCTGAAAATCCAATTAGCAGGGCTGGCTATGTACGGTGGTGCGGTTCAACACACACAAGCCCCGTGCCCCCCCCTAAATGTTCAGTGTTTGTGTTTTGTTGGTTTGACTGCGCTGTGCGCTCGCAGGGCTGCTGCTGATGGAGCTGCCGCTGCTCGCCGAGCCGGCGACGCCGGAGGACTTCACGAACGCGCACGGTGCCGTGTCGCTCACCCCCCCGCCGCCCCACGGCGCCGGCGGATCTCCCGGCGAGCCGCGTGAGCCGTGGTACCCGTGGTACGCCTGGAGGCAGCCGCCCGCCCGCGATGTGGAGAAACTACGCAAGCTCTACAAGGGATTCCTCAAGAAAGACTGACGATGACGGCGACACTGGTGATGGTCGTGGATGACGAGGATGACGACGCTGATGATGATGACGATGATGATGATGATGACGATGATGACGATGATGATGATGACGACGATGATGATGATGACGACGATGACGCTGATGATGATGATGACGACGATAATGACGACGATGATGATGATGACGACGATGACGACGACGACGATGATAACGACGACGACGATGATGACGATGACGACGACGATGATGACGATGCTGATGATGACGATGACGACGATGATGACGACGATGATGACGATGATGACGACGATGATGACAACGATGATGACGCTGATGATGACGACGCTGATGACGACGCTGATGATGACGCTGACTACGACGATGACTACGACGATGACGACGCACCGCTGACATCGGAGATTAGCGGCGAGCCGAAAACTAGGAGGGGATACGGCAAATGTAACGATGATAATGTTTTTGATATGGTGCCTTTTTACTCCGGGCGGGCGGGGGGGGGGGGGGGGTCGTATCGGAGCCCTTTGCACGCAATGCGCGACCGACTTGCATCTCGTCTCAAACATTTATCAAGGATGCCCCCGGTGGCAGCTGTCCACGCGCAGCCAAAGCGACTCGGCACTTGTCCTGCGAGCGGGCATCAGTCTGCCGCCAGTAGGGATGATTGCTCTGTGTAATCCCAGCTGAGTGATTATCGTGCAGAGGTTGGTACTTCCTGCTCAGTGTCACCTTGTCCATTACTCGTTTGGTTCTTTCGGTAAAGTCGCGTATAAAGAGAAAGCAATACATTAAAGACTAGCATACGACGTTTCGATTGCAACACAAGCAATCGTCATCATCAGATATAAATTAAATAGAAACACAAATCTAGTAGACTTAGAAATGTAATGTAATACAACAGAGAGTCGGATAACATAACAGTCAACACCCTACCTGGTTGATTACGTTCTTCCTGAGAATGCAAAATTTTAGAGAGAGATAAACCACAGAACCAGAGACATAAGTAGAGACAGATATCACAGAGATACATACATAGGCACACAGAGAAACCACGCCTCTGTCGAGGCCTTAAATAGAGAGAGGGGGCGGAGAGAGGGAGGGGTTAGATAAATTAGCATGTCAATGAGTGGCACGGTGATGATTGCTTGTGTTGCAATCGAAACGTCGTATGCTAGTATTGAATTTATTATTTTCTCTTTCTACGTGACTTCACCGAAAGAACTAAAAGAGTAATTCCTGCAGTCACGAAAGCTCCAAATGAACCTTGTCCTTTGTTGAACCAGGAGATGAAATAAAAAAGCGATTGTGACTCGTGAAACTTTGCCTATTTGCAAGGGGGGCTACCTGGGTGAGTGTGAGTGGTTGATTGTGTGAGTGGTTGAGTGAGTTCAGTGGTTGATTGTGTGAGTGGTTGATTGTGAGTGGTTGAGTGTGTGAGTGGTTGATTGTGTGATTGGTTGAGTGAGTGAGTGAGTGGTTGTGTGAGTGGTTGAGTGTGTTGATTGAGTGTGTTAGTGGTTGAGTGTGAGTGGTTGAGTGAGTGGTTGATTGTGTGAGCAGTTGAGTGAGTGGTTGATTGTGTGAGTGGTTGAGTTAGTGAGTGGTTGAGTGTGTGAGTGAGTGGTTGAGTGTGTGAGTGGTTGAGTAAGTGGTTGAGTGAGTGAGTGTGAGTGAGTGGTTGAGTTAGTGGTTGTGTGAGTGGTTGTGTGTGAGTGTAATCGCGGAATACGTTCATTGATCCAGGTGAGAACATCGAGCGCTGCTCGACCGCGGCATGGAATTCAATTTCCCCCATCGACGACCACCACCACCACGTGGCCTCGATGGCAGCGGCGGCGGCCATGCTGAGTCGAGACATTTCACGACGTTGTCGTGTTGGCCGTAAAGCACCCCACACTTTGCGGCATCAGCTGACTGCTCAGCTGATTCCGGGATTGTCATTGTAACTGGGGCTGTTTCGGGCTGTCGCTCTTTCTCCCACGGGAACATTTTCGAACGCTTAGAAGCGATTTAATAACAATTAGCAGTGTTTTATTAAGCCCCTACCTAACCAACCCCCCTCCTTACCACCGCCCAGCAATTGTTTAAACCCCTTGGCGATTATCACGAAGGCTTTACAACAACAATTATTAAGGATTTACAACCAACAGTCTTCTTCTTTGACGTCGTCGTTGTTGTTGTTGGACGATGTTTGGCGGCGGGGACGAGGATGACGGAGACTTCGTCACGGCGCCAAGCGGGTAGGAGACTCCTTGCGAACGCGACCACTCGATACTTTCCACCGTGCGTGTGTGTGGTGCTCGCTAACAGCACTTGCCCCTACAGTCTGGTAAGGCTATACGGGTGATCTTTGTCTCTGTGGTGCTCGCTAACAGCACTTGCCCCTACAGTCTGTGAAGGCTATACGGGTGATCTTTGTCTTTGTGTTGCTCGCTAACAGCACTTGCCCCTACAATCTGTTAAGGCTATACGGGTGATCTTTGTCTTTGTGGTGCTCGCTAACAGCACTTGCCCCTACAGTCTGTTAAGGCTACACGGGTGATCTTTGTCTTTGTGGTGCTCGCTAACAGCACTTGCCCCTACAATCTGTTAAGGCTACACGGGTGATCTTTGTCTTTGTGGTGCTCGCTAACAGCACTTGCCCCTACAGTCTGTTTAGGCTACACGGGTGATCTTTGTCTTTGTGGTGCTCGCTAACAGCACTTGCCCCTACAGTCTGTTAAGGCTACACGGGTGATCTTTGTCTTTGTGGTGCTCGCTAACAGCACTTGCCCCTACAGTCTGTTAAGGCTACATGGGGGATCTTTGTGGGGAGCGGTGGGTGTAGTGGTTAGCGCTGCGTTACGAACCCGCGGCCCGAGTTCGATTCCCGCTCACGGCCAACCAACATCAGTGACGATGATCTGAGCCAGGTTCCGGGCCTCCCCTAGGTCGACTCAGCCTCAAATGAGTTCCTCCTGGTGCGGTGTGTAAACATCGCCACTGGGGAGACAAAGGCGGCCGGGCGTGGTGCTGGCCACCCACCCCCTCGTGTGCCACAGTGCCGGTAGCCTTCATAGGCGCTGCTACTCGCTAACAGCCTGTTAGAGGCTACACGGGGGATTCTTTGTATCGCCCCTAGGTCGACTCAGCCTCAAATGAATACCTGGTGTTGTGTGTGAGCCTGGCTATGAGAGAAACAAAGGCGGTCGGGCGTGGACCTGCCCGCTATCGGCACACATACCACGCTTCCTCGTGTGAGCTGCTGTTAGTTTTAGTTCCGCTTTTTGTTTCTTCTGCTCCTTACATCCACTCGTCTTCTCCTTCGAGATGACACGGCAGACGTGCAGATTGCACAGGGCTCGAGCGAGAGAGTGGAGTTTGTGTGATCTCTCCCTGTTCTACAGAGTGAGTGAGTGGAGTTTGTATGATCTCCCCCTGTTCTGCAGAGTGAGTGAGTGGAGTTTGTATGATCTCCCCCTGTTCTACAGAGTGAGTGGAGTTTGTATGATCTCCCCCTGTTCTACAGAGTGAGAGTGAGTGAGTGGAGTTTGTATGATCTCCCCCTGTTCTGCAGAGTGAGTGAGTGGAGTTTGTATGATCTCCCCCTGTTCTACAGAGTGAGTGAATGGAGTTTGTGTGATCTCCCCCTGTTCTGTAGAGTGAGTGAGTGGAGTTTGTATGATCTCCCCCTGTTCTACAGAGTGAGATTGAGTGAGTGGAGTTTGTATGATCTCCCCCTGTTCTGCAGAGTGAGTGAGTGGAGTTTGTATGATCTCCCCCTGTTCTACAGAGTGAGTGGAGTTGGTGTGATCTCCCCCTGTTCTACAGAGTGAGTGAGTGGAGTTTGTGTGATCTCCCCCTGTTCTACAGAGTGAGTGAGTGGAGTTTGTATGATCTCCCCCTGTTCTACAGAGTGAGAGAGTGGAGTTTGTATGATCTCCCCCTGTTCTACAGAGTGAGAGAGTGGAGTTTGTATGATCTCCCCCTGTTCTACAGAGTGAGAGTGAGTGAGTGGAGTTTGTATGATCTCCCCCTGTTCTGCAGAGTGAGTGAGTGGAGTTTGTATGATCTCCCCCTGTTCTACAGAGTGAGTGGAGTTTGTATGATCTCCCCCTGTTCTACAGAGTGAGAGAGTGGAGTTTGTATGATCTCCCCCTGTTCTACAGAGTGAGAGAGTGGAGTTTGTATGATCTCCCCCTGTTCTACAGAGTGAGTGGAGTTTGTATGATGTCACCCTGTTCTACAGAGTGAGTGAATGGAGTTTGTGTGATCTCCCCCTGTTCTGTAGAGTGAGTGAGTGGAGTTTGTATGATCTCCCCCTGTTCTACAGAGTGAGATTGAGTGAGTGGAGTTTGTATGATCTCCCCCTGTTCTGCAGAGTGAGTGAGTGGAGTTTGTATGATCTCCCCCTGTTCTACAGAGTGAGTGGAGTTGGTGTGATCTCCCCCTGTTCTACAGAGTGAGTGAGTGGAGTTTGTGTGATCTCCCCCTGTTCTACAGAGTGAGTGAGTGGAGTTTGTATGATCTCCCCCTGTTCTACAGAGTGAGAGAGTGGAGTTTGTATGATCTCCCCCTGTTCTACAGAGTGAGAGAGTGGAGTTTGTATGATCTCCCCCTGTTCTACAGAGTGAGTAGAGTTTGTATGATCTCCCCCTGTTCTACAGAGTGAGAGAGTGGAGTTTGTATGATCTCCCCCTGTTCTACAGAGTGAGTGGAGTTTGTATGATCTCCCCCTGTTCTACAGAGTGAGAGTGAGTGAGTGGAGTTTGTATGATCTCCCCCTGTTCTGCAGAGTGAGTGAGTGGAGTTTGTATGATCTCCCCCTGTTCTACAGAGTGAGTGGAGTTTGTATGATGTCACCCTGTTCTACAGAGTGAGTGAATGGAGTTTGTGTGATCTCCCCCTGTTCTACAGAGTGAGTAGAGTTTGTATGATCTCCCCCTGTTCTACAGAGTGAGAGAGTGGAGTTTGTATGATCTCCCCCTGTTCTACAGAGTGAGTGGAGTTTGTATGATCTCCCCCTGTTCTACAGAGTGAGAGTGAGTGAGTGGAGTTTGTATGATCTCCCCCTGTTCTGCAGAGTGAGTGAGTGGAGTTTGTATGATCTCCCCCTGTTCTACAGAGTGAGTGGAGTTTGTATGATCTCCCCCTGTTCTACAGAGTGAGAGAGTGGAGTTTGTATGATCTCCCCCTGTTCTACAGAGTGAGAGAGTGGAGTTTGTATGATCTCCCCCTGTTCTACAGAGTGAGTGGAGTTTGTATGATGTCACCCTGTTCTACAGAGTGAGTGAATGGAGTTTGTGTGATCTCCCCCTGTTCTGTAGAGTGAGTGAGTGGAGTTTGTATGATCTCCCCCTGTTCTACAGAGTGAGATTGAGTGAGTGGAGTTTGTATGATCTCCCCCTGTTCTGCAGAGTGAGTGAGTGGAGTTTGTATGATCTCCCCCTGTTCTACAGAGTGAGTGGAGTTGGTGTGATCTCCCCCTGTTCTACAGAGTGAGTGAGTGGAGTTTGTGTGATCTCCCCCTGTTCTACAGAGTGAGTGAGTGGAGTTTGTATGATCTCCCCCTGTTCTACAGAGTGAGAGAGTGGAGTTTGTATGATCTCCCCCTGTTCTACAGAGTGAGAGAGTGGAGTTTGTATGATCTCCCCCTGTTCTACAGAGTGAGTAGAGTTTGTATGATCTCCCCCTGTTCTACAGAGTGAGAGAGTGGAGTTTGTATGATCTCCCCCTGTTCTACAGAGTGAGTGGAGTTTGTATGATCTCCCCCTGTTCTACAGAATGAGAGTGAGTGAGTGGAGTTTGTATGATCTCCCCCTGTTCTGCAGAGTGAGTGAGTGGAGTTTGTATGATCTCCCCCTGTTCTACAGAGTGAGTGGAGTTTGTATGATGTCACCCTGTTCTACAGAGTGAGTGAATGGAGTTTGTGTGATCTCCCCCTGTTCTGTAGAGTGAGTGAGTGGAGTTTGTATGATCTCCCCCTGTTCTACAGAGTGAGATTGAGTGAGTGGAGTTTGTATGATCTCCCCCTGTTCTGCAGAGTGAGTGAGTGGAGTTTGTATGATCTCCCCCTGTTCTACAGAGTGAGTGGAGTTTGTATGATGTCACCCTGTTCTACAGAGTGAGTGAATGGCGTTTGTGTGATCTCCCCCTGTTCTGTAGAGTGAGTGAGTGGAGTTTGTATGATCTCCCCCTGTTCTACAGAGTGAGATTGAGTGAGTGGAGTTTGTATGATCTCCCCCTGTTCTACAGAGTGAGATTGAGTGAGTGGAGTTTGTATGATCTCACCCTGTTCTACAGAGTGAGTGAATGGAGTTTGTGTGATCTCCCCCTGTTCTACAGAGTGAGTGAGTGGAGTTTGTGTGATCTCCCCCTGTTCTACAGAGTGAGATTGAGTGAGTGGAGTTTGTGTGATCTCCCCCTGTTCTACAGAGTGAGAGTGGGTGAGTGGAGTTTGTGTGATCTCCCCATGTTCTACAGAGTGAGTGGAGTTTGTATCATCTCCCCCTGTTCTACAGAGTGAGTGAGTGGAGTTTGTGTGATCTCCCCATGTTCTACAGAGTGAGTGGAGTTTGTATCATCTCCCCCTGTTCTACAGAGTGAGTGAGTGGAGTTTGTGTGATCTCCCCCTGTTCTACAAAGTGAGTGGAGTTTGTATCATCTCCCCCTGTTCCACATGGTTTTTCTCCGGGTCCCATCGTTCATCGTGCAACTGGTTTTGGAGACAACATCCCAACACACGACAAAACGTACCCGCACATTACGGTACTCAATAGGGGATCACACAGCAGCGGCAATCGATGAAAACTTAACAGGATGCTCGTCAAACAACTGCCTCGTTCTTACAATGGTTAACGAAGGCCGGTTAATGAGTGGCTTGGTGTCCTGCGGCAAGGACTTTTGCCGCACGCCTTTGTTAATTCAACCGATGAAGTGCCCGGCTGCTTTGACGGTTTTGTCGTGGTGCCTATGGTTAGTCCCGGGGGCTAGGGGTCTAGGGGTCTAAGGGCCATTCAAAGGGTCTTTGTGGCAAAAGGGTGCCATGGTGGTGAGATGTTAACTCCCTCGCCTGGTGTGCAGGAGGTCGTGGGTTCAATCCCCACCCTGACGCCTGCTGCTGCTGTATATTTGGAGTTTGCGTGTCTCTCATCATCATCACCACGGTGGCTAGGAGATGTTAACTACCTCGCCTGGTGTGCAGGAGGTCGTGGGTTCAATCCCGACCCTGACGCCTGCTGCTGTATATTTGGAGTTTGCGTGTCTCTCTCATCATCATCAGCACGGTGGCTAGAAGATGTTAACTACCTCGCCTGATATACAGGAGGTCGTGGGTTCAATCCCGACCTTGATGCCTGCTGCTGTATATTTGGAGTTTGCGTAGTCTCTCTCTCATCATCATCATCACGGTGGCTAGGAGATTTTAACTCCCTCGCCTGGTCAACAGGAGGTCGTGGGTTCAATCCCAACTCTGACGCCTGCTGCTGTATATTTGGAGTTTGCGTGTCTCTCTCTCTCATCATTATCACGGTGGCTAGGAGATGTTAACTACCTCGCCTGGTGTACAGGAGGTCGTGGGTTCGATCCCGACCCTGACGCCTGCTGCTGTATATTTGGAGTTTGCGGTGTCTCTCTCCCTCCGTGGTCGCGTGGATTTTTCTCCGGGTCCTCCGGTTTTTATCCTCCACATTTAGAATCAACGTCACGCGTTTAGACTATTTGGCTACTGCTCGACATTTCCACGTGGTGATGATGATGATAAGCCACTTGTGATAGACAGATCGCTTCTTAGCTCAGTGATGGATCCTTACACCGGGCAAAATAAAAAAAATGTTTGTTTAGTTTTAGTGTTAAGATCCGGTTTTCGGGTTGGTTGATAAGGGGCGTTGAAGTCTCCTGCTGAGCAACTTTGTCGTCGACAGATAGACCCCCCCACACCCCCTCTCCCCACGTGCAAGGCAGTGCTACCTGTGCTTGCCTGCGCCTGCGTTGGATCTCGCCGCTGTGAACGTTCAGTTTCCCTTCTTCCGATTTAGTTACGATGACCGACGTACGCCTACACGTGTGTACGCCAACGTCGTCGAAAAAACTGACGTACGTACACGTAAGCAGCAGCAGCCGCCGCCGCAGCAGTAGCAGCAGCAGCAGGAGCAACAGCAGCAAGAGCAGCAGCCGCAGCAGCAGCAACAGCAGTAGCAGCAGCAGGCTACTGCCCAAGAGTGCTTGTAAAGAGCCTCCGTTGATGGAGTACACAGCATTTCATGCACACACACACAGCATTTCATGCACACACACAGCATTTCATGCACACACACAGCATTTCATGCACACACACACAGCATTTCATGCACACACACAGCATTTCATGCACACACACAGCATTTCATGCACACACACACAGCATTTCATGCACACACACAGCATTTCATGCACACACACAGCATTTCATGCACACACACAGCATTTCATGCACACACACAGCATTTCATGCACACACACACAGCATTTCATGCACACACACACACAGCATTTCATGCACACACACACACAGCATTTCATGCACACACACACACAGCATTTCATGCACACACACACACAGCATTTCATGCACACACACACAGCATTTCATGCACACACACACACAGCATTTCATGCACACACACACACAGCATTTCATGCACACACACACACAGCATTTCATGCACACACACACACACAGCATTTCATGCACACACACACACAGCATTTCATGCACACACACACAGCATTTCATGCACACACACACACAGCATTTCATGCACACACACACACACAGCATTTCATGCACACACACAGCATTTCATGCACACACAGACACAGCATTTCATGCACACACACACACACAGCATTTCAAGCACACACACACAGCATTTCATGCACACACACACAGCATTTCATGCACACACACACAGCATTTCATGCACACACACACAGCATTTCATGCACACACACACACAGCATTTCATGCACACAC